CCTGGAAAACTCTGTAGAACATCCACTGTGTCCCTGAGGATCAATAATGAAAGATGTTAGCATGTGTGGATGACCTGGGTTCCGCCTGGGAGGTTTGTTTATTTACTTGTACATAGGAGCATACCATAGAAGTTCTTTTTCAGACAGAGGGATTAGCAAATTTTTTCTTCTTTAAAGAACCAGCATCCATTTGCTGTTGATAAAGATAAAATTGTTCATAGTGCTGCCAAATCTAAGCAGCTGTTATTAGAATCTCCTCCAGTTTCATCACCAATTGAATCCAATATGCATTAGCCCATATACCTCTGGTCAAACGAGGCAGGAGTTTTCAAACATGTTAGATTGGGCAAGTGATAACACAAAATTGGGCGTCTATGAGCTTCATTCTCTTCATGGTTCTTCTACAGACAGAAGTATGACAATTTGACCTTTGGGTCTATTTACCTGTCTGAAAAATAACAGTAATAGGCACTTTGGAACCATCTACTTACTTCTTTTTTGGTGTACAGAGGATTTAAGAGTTAAGCTCCCTTAGTTATCCAATTGAAAGATTTGGCATAAGCACACCAACTATGATTAAGGAAACGACTAAAGTGACAGGCATTCTACCACCGGAAGATATTTCTGGAGTGAACTGATTTTGCCTTTCGATTCATCATCAAATTCATACTTGGATACAGCTTAATATTAAGCAGATAGAATAAATTGCCTTTACTGTTCACATACTGAAGAGCTTTGCTTAATTAGGATTTGGTTGGGAACAAGGTGGTAAAGAGGCATTATTAGTGATTATTCCTGACACTTTTAAACAGTTTTTAAGTTCTTAAAATACATCCAATCCTGAATTTCAAAGAAGAGAAAGAATCATGGGGTGATGGTAAATCAGGATGGATTATCCCCTTCCTATAAATTGCAATGTAGGGTGAGTTAACAAACCACTTTAGGTTCCTGAGTTAACTTTTGATCTTACTGGAAAAAAATTGTGCAAGTAAGATGTGTTTAACTTTTTCCTATTTGTCTGTGGTATGTCAGAGGAGGGGCAAGCCTAAGAAGTTTACACTAAAGTAAAACACTGTGGAAAGTAAGGAGAAAATTTGAGGAGCACTCAGGAATACCTGTTTCTCTGCAATTTTTCCTATGGAGAAATTTTGCACTAAGATATACATTTTATGAGAAGAAAAGATAATTCCTTGGTTCCTAGGTTCCTTAGTCTGAAGTGTGATTCTTAAGAGGGTCTCTGTAAGAGGAATTTGGAGACATTTATTCCCTTGGTACTATGACTTCTCATCGCTGATATGACAGCTCACTGGGTATTAAGAAGTTGCCCATGTTAAGACAGTGACTCCCAGGCCGGGCGCGGTGGCTCAAGCCTGTAATCCCAGCACTTTTGGAGGCCGAGACGGGCGGATCACAAGGTCAGGAGATCGAGACCATCCTGGCTAACATGGTGAAACCCCGTCTCTACTAAAAATACAAAAAAACTAGCCGGGCGAGGTGGCGGGCGCCTGTAGTCCCAGCTAGTCGGGAGGCTGAGGCAGGAGAATGGCGTAAACCCGGGAGGCGGAGCTTGCAGTGAGCTGAGATCCGGCCACTGCACTCCAGCCTGGGCGACAGAGCGAGACTCCGTCTCAAAAAAAAAAAAAAAAAAAAAAAGACAATGACTCCCATAACCATTTTAAAAAAACAAAAAACAAAAACCCATGTCTTGTAATACACAGTTGTTCCAAAGGATAAGCTGCAGAGTTTGCATGTTTGTGTGTGTATGTGTATGTTTGTGTGTTTGTAGTGTGTATGCAGGGGCAGTTAGAAGTGTGGTGTACGTATGAGAATAGTTTAGGAAGCTATTGAATTATGTATTGGAAAGACCATAGTGGTTTCTGTGTTTGTGTGTGTGTGTGTGTGTGTGTTTCAAGAGTCAATGGATTATGAATGTATGTACAGTGACAAATAAGATGAGAAGTAAAAAACAAAACAAAACAAAACAAAAAACTAGAATTCCAGTCCAACTCTGTCCTGCTAGACAAAAAGAAATGTAGGCCGGGCACGGTGGCTCACCCCTGTAATCCAAGCACTTTGGGAGGCCAAGGCGGGCAGATCACCTGAGGTCAGGAGTTCGAGACCATCCTGGCCAACATGGTAAACCCCATTTTACTAAAAATACAAAAAATTAACTGGGCATGGTGGCATGCGCCTGTAATCCCATCTACTCAGGAGGCTGAGACAAGAGAATCACTTGAACCCGGGAGGCAGAGGTTGCAGTGAGCTGAGATCATGCCACTGCACTCCAGCCTGGGCAATAAGAGTGAAACTCCATCTCAAAAAATAAAAATAAAAATAAAATAAATGTAGGCAAGTCAATCTTTCTGAGCATCAGTGTCCTAATCTATTAAATAGAGGGTGAATAAATCACAAGGCTCACATGAGACTATATGATTGGGAGACTTATCTTAATATCTCATTGAAAAGCACTATGGGCAACTCCACAAAAGTGCAACTTCATCATGAAGACTCAACTACCCCTAAGGTTCCAGCATGATCCCTCCTTCTAAAGCATTGTGCCCACTTCCAGAACTCCCTCATCATGGGAATGATGGAAGCTTCTATACGAAGGACTAAGATGAAAAGGATTCCTTTTAACTCCACAACTTCTTTAAACCCAGAACACAAGACTCATAATATAGATGAGTTTTTTGTTGTTGTTTGTTTGTTTGTTTTGAGATGGAGTCTCGCTCTATCACCCAGGCTGGAGTGCAGTGGCGCGACCTCGGCTCACTGCAAGCTCCGCATCTCGGATTCACACCATTCTCCTGCCTCAGCCTCCTGAGTAGCTGGGACTAGAGGCGCCCGCCACCTCACCCAACTAACTTTTTGTATTTTGTTTAGTAGAGACAGGGTTTCACCGTGTTAGCCAGGATGGTCTTGATCTCCTGACCTCGTGATACACCCACCTCAGCCTCCCAAAGTGCTGATATTACAGGTGTGAGCCACCACGCCTGGCCTATAGATGAGTTTTATAGACTCATATTATAGACTCATAATCTAGACTTCTTAATGTCCAGGGAGCTGTCATATCAGTGATGAGAAGTCACAATGCCAAAGGGATAATTGTATCCCAATTCCTCTTACAGAGGTCTTCTTAAGAATCACACTTCAGCCCGGCGCAGTGGCTCACACCTGTAATCCCAGCACTTTGGGAGGCTGAGGCGGGTGGATCACCTGAGTCAAGTTCGAGACCAGCCTGACCAACATGGTGAAACCCTGTCTCTACTAAAAATACAAAAATTAGCCTGGCGTGGTGGTAGATACCTATAATCCTAGCTGCTTGAGAGGCTGAGGCAGGAGAATTGCTTGAATCTGGGAGGAGGAAGTTACAGTGAGTGGAGATTGCACCATTGCACTCCAGCCTGGGCAACAGAGGGAGACTCCGTCTCAAAAAAAAAAAAAAAAAAAAAAAAAACCCCAAACAAACAACAATAACAAAAAAAACACACTTCATAGTATTTCTGGTTCTAGGTCAGGGAGGAATCACCACACTGTCTTCCACAATAGCTGGACTAATTTATATTCCCATCAATAGCATAAAATCACTCAGCATCAATTATATTATTTTGAACAAATCTGTAGTTTATCATGACACACAATCAACCAACCTTACTGTAGCAAAGATAAACATCTTATTCTATCCTGCATTGTATCTGTGCTATGGGAGGGACATTGATGCCTCTACTGATGATGCCATCAAATAATTAGTCCAAATTACTTTCTTGTAAGGGTCTGCTGCCAGAGGAGAGAAATAAAGATTTCCATTTGAATGAAAGCACCTGTAGAGGAAAGAGCTAACACATGTAGACTTCAAATGCATATTTACTCGAAATATAAATGAGATGGATGAGTCCTAACATACATGCATCTAACTTAAGCATATTCAACACTGTGACCTTGGAGAAAAGTAAGAGGGAGAAGAGAGCAGGCAAGAATGAGAGAATCCCTGTATCTATGTTTGTGCTCTCCTTCAACCTAGAAGTCAGCCTTCACTACAAGAGCCAAAATGCAAAATAAAGCAAAATAATTTAAATTCTAGGTTTTAAGCTTTCAGGGGCTTAATGAGCCCTAGGGAGCAAAGGAGTTTTCCAGGATTATTTTGGCCTTACAAGTTTTATCCTTTCTGGGATGAATATAGACCCTAACCCTATGTAAGATTAACTCTGTGTGACACATTCACACATCCACTACAAACTTTATAATCATACTCTTGTCACCTGGCACCCGTTTTCCTCACCGCTAGACTTAAAGCCACATCACACCATCATGATTATGATCTCTTGTCATCAGTTTGCCCATAGTGTTTTTTTTTATTTATGAATTGTAGATCACACATCCTATTAGCTTTGTAAAACTTTAATGAATAAGATCTATCTTAATTTAGATTTATCATTACGATGAAAGAGTTAAAAATTCTGGAGAAACACATTCGTAGAAATTATCTTACCCTCCCCTGGAGCTATGCCGGCTTAAGCTAACTTACCTTCTCAGGTGTGCATTTACCAATTCTTTAAAATCCCCAGAAAAGTGATTTCATTATGAAAATACTGTAGGACATTTCCCATGCTATTTCATATGTGATGAGTTTTCACTATTTCATATTAATGAAGAGTGGAAGACGAAGAGTGAAAAGAAATAAATGTTTCCTTCCACATCTTCTAGAGCTGCTTATGAAAATGAACGACTGGAATAGTCACAGCATTGGCCTAAAACTGTCCTAAGACTCCAGGTTTAAATATCAGATATGATAGAAAAGACCACTATCTGGGACTCATAAGTGTCAGAGAATCACATACTTTGCAAAGGAAACAATACCTGAGCAGTCAATGGAAATACACACACACCACATGCACACACACATATCTTCACAATGATGGGTTCAGAAACAGAATGAAGCAGATTTAAAAGAAAAGACAGGCCAGGTCATCTTAATAAGTCAAGAAGGAAATCCTACCTACCTTGTGACTGCCCGGGTACAGATGGTAACAAGGAAACAGCCAGCCACAATCATCCAGCCCCAGCCTCCATCTGGAGGGGAGGTAGACCGAGCTCTATTTACTTTTGCCATCGTTTTTCTTTTTTCTTCTTTTCCAGGTTGCTCCAACAGCCAAGTTATGATCTTGGAAGAGTTTGCTGTCCAGTGACTTCCTGTTGGCATTCAAGGTTGGCATAGAACGCTACCTGGCACATGGGTTACTCGCCATCTAAAACCAAAAATCAGGACATATTTATATCTTATTGCTATGTCCAAAGGTTAATTTTTCTTCACTTGGTAAAACATGATTATTACTTTCCTATTAAATATGAGTATTTGTAACTATGAATACTAGACTGGGGCAGACTATTTGCTGTCCTTGGTACATACTTTCTTTTTAAAAAATATAATAGACCCTCTCAAATTGTAGTCAAATGCATGTCTACTCTATTTGATACCATTTTTCCCTAGCCTCTCTTGAAGGTAGTTGTGGCAATAAAGTGTAGTCTCCATTAAAGGGATGTGAGCAGAAGTCATGTGTGCCACTTCTGGTTCATCAACTCAAAGGCAACGGTACTTTTTCAAGGACTTCCAGCACCCTCTTCCAACTGACTGGAAGATGGATGTGGATATGAAATCACTTCAACCACACAGACCAGGACATCAGTCTAGGGGCTGGCAGAGCTACAAGACAGAAGAAGCCTGGGTCCTCAGATGACTCTGGGGAGACCTGCCCTCCTACTCTGGACTCTGCACATCTCTACACTGTTACACAAAAGATAAATAAGCTTCCATTTTATTTGTGTCTCTGTATTTTGGAGTCTCTCTGTTACAACAGCTTATAACATAGCCTAATTATTATACAGAATGAGTCTGACAGCAACTTCTTGGCATATTTTAAAATGCTATAAATTTTTAAGTGTGTAATTGAAGTAAGAAGAGAATGACAAATAAATGAGACAAAGTAGAGAGCCCAGAAACTAGCATATAATATTTTAATACAATCCAAATAAGGTAAAAAAAGATTAGTGAAGAAAAAAGTATTATTTACCACATTTTGTTCAACTCTCCATTTAGCTCTTGACCTTCCAGATAAATCAGTAAATGTAAAAAAAATAAATAAGTAGTTAAAAACCTAGGTGAAAATATTGGCAAATATTTATCTGTTCTCTAGATAGGAAAACTCCCTGAGATGTAAAGTAATAAAACAAACCAAGATAAAAAAAAAATTGTTAATTTGTCTAAATTAGAATTTAACATTTCTGTATTAAAACATGTGATTAATAAACAAAACCAAAAGGTAAGCCACAGGCTTGGGGAAAAAACATTAGCAATACATACTTCAAAGAAGTAATATCTGCATTCATTCATTCATTCATTCATTCAACTGTAAGTATTTATTGAATCCCTAGCATGTGTCAGGCACTATTTTAGGGCACTAAGGATTCAGTAGTGGTCACAATACACAAAGCTCCTTGTGGTGGGCAGGCTCTAAGGTACCCCTATGGTCCTGGCTCTGGTCATTCACATCTTTATGTAATCCCTTCCCTTGAGCGTGGGAGGGACCTGTGACTTGCTTCTACCCAACAGAATATGGCATCTGTGAGGGAACCTGACTCTCACAATTATGTCGTGTTATATATGACTCAGGCCTGCTAGCCACTCTCGCTCTCCCACTGTCCTTGAAGAAGCAAACTGCCATGCTGCACACCTAGGAGAAAGCCATTTGGCAGGGAACCATGGGCAGGCTGTAGATGCTGAGGGCAGCCTCCAACAGACAGCAAGAAACATGAAGTTCTCAGGGTCTTTTGTTTTTTGCTTTTTCACAAACATCCCAAGTGAGCCTGGATGCAGAATTTCCCCTAAATTGAACCTCCAGTTAAGGATGGTCTCATTGACAACCTGACAGCAGCTTTGTGATATCCTTACCCTAGGACCCAGCTAAGCTATTTCTGGATTCTGACCCCATAGAAACTGTGAGATAAGGTGCTTCTTAAGGTATTCCAAGGCTTGTCAAACAGGCTTCTTAATTACAGTCAGGGATGAATTTTTTGAGAGGAAAAATAAGAGTTTCAACATCTACTTCTTCTACAGAATTGAGCAAATTACCCAGTTGCTTTTATAATTTTATTGTGATCACTGGAAGAAATCCTAACATTAATTAAATGAAATGTCATTTCAACTATGACAATGTGTGGATTATTTGATGAACAAAGACTATGTACCACCTGGTAAATTACGGGCAAAACAAATTGCCTAATAAAAAGCATTTACTTTAAGAACACAACTTTCTCAAGAAAATGGCTCATAACAGAAATTTGTAAGTGTGCATCTTTGAAGATGGAACAAATTGGTGGCTGATTATTTCAGAGAGTGCATACAGAGCAGGGTAGTGAGGCTAAGGCAACAAGAATAATTCCCACATACATCACTTAGGTTTGCTCCTTTTGAAGCCTCAGGTCTTCATCGTCATGCTGTTAACCATCTGGTGACTTTGGGGAGACTGACAAAGGTGATTAAGTGTACAACTGAAATTATAAATCTATCAAAAGTATCGGGAGACCAATACTGGCATAAATACTAAACCTATTGATAAAGAAAAAAAGTTATTACTGGAAATTATAATATTGCGAAACACTGGCCTGGGGATTGTGTAATAGCCAAAATACTGGTGTTGGCGCTAAGTGAAAATAACAGTGATACAGAGCTGCTGTTTACAAAGCACTTGCCACAGGCCAAGCTTCTAGCAAGCATCACTACAGACAGTATCTCACTTAATCCTTACAAGAACCATAAAGAGTAGATACTATTATCCTTATCTTATAGGTAAAGAAACTCAAGTTAAAGAGATTAAGTAATTTGCCTTATTATTCTTTAGATAATGAAGCAGCAGAAATGGGTTATGAACCTTGGTCTGATTCCAAGGCCAGTCTTCCTAACCAATGCCTTGCACTGCTTCTACTACGCTTCCTTATTCCTTGGTATAAATTCATAAACATTTTTGTCTAATTATACACGTAATTCTTGCTGATGACACACCAGTAGGATGATGTGAATTGCAGCCTGACGTAGCTATAAATGCAGTTCTTTAAATGGTACCCTTGGTATTTCCCTGAAACATTCTTGTAGGTCACTGACTTGACCAGCTGTGAAATTTCAGAGCAAAACCAACCCTCTAAAGGTGTCTCTAACACTCTGGAGCTTCAGAATAAGTTTTTCCAAAACATAACTTTGTGTCATGAATAAGTAGCTTTAACAGTCATCTACTTTCTTCCCCAAAATGAAACGCTCAAGGAAAAACTCTTATTTTAAAAGATCTACCATACCTGTATTTTTGCTTTCACACACAGCCTGCTGCAGCAGACAGAGCCGGTAGTCCATCCCTTCCTCTATTCCATCATAACCCTGGCTTTGTTAGGATTCACCTCTTAGCTGCTCTCTCCAGCGGCCATCTGGGCCCAGTCCCTTGGTTCAGGGACTGGTTTTGCATTGGTCTCCCGTTTCCATGTCAGTGAGTGATGAGGCACAGAATGGGAAGTATCTAGCCAATGACCTATGGAGAGAAGCCTCTGGGAAATGTTTCTCTGTTCTTAAGAAAAGATACGAGGAAGAAACAAGCTCCTCTTCTTCCTGTAGATTCTGGATGTAATAACTGGATCTATAGCAGCCACCTCTTAACCATGAAAGAAGCTAGTTTGAGGACAAAGTCAATGAGCCAAGACCCAGTTGGAAGATCTGGGTTCTGACTCTGCATCTTAAGAGTTATATGAGTTCAAGCAAATTACTTTATGTCTCTGAGCCTCAGTTTACTTACCCATAAAACGGAGGTAATAATTTTACTTTCACAAAATGTTGTATATATTAAAATGAGAAAAAACATGAGGAATACCTGGCACATAAATGTAGATATTATTTGCCATGTGATTTAACCTCTTTTCATTTGTTCATCACTCATTAATTCAATATTTATTGAGTGTCCAATATGCACCAGAAACTATTCTAGGAGCTGGGCTATGAGCATTGCAGAAAAGAGACAATAGCCCTGCTTTCATGAAGCTCACATCCTAGTGGGACAGGCACAGTTCATCAACTGTTGAACAATAACTTCTAAGCCTTCCTTGTTTGTATAAAAAATTACCTTTGGCCTACTTCACAGGATCATAGCTATAGTCAAATGAGAGCAGAGCACCCACAAAACTGGCAGCAACGAGCCAATCAAGCTTCAGGACACTTTCATTATGCCTACAGTGTTTTTTAAATGTTTACATTAGTTGGCACTTGTAAAGATCAGATACTATCCAAATTTTCAAATTCTTTTGAAAAACTGCAAGCCCTAAAAATACGTTGGGCTGCATTCCCTTGTGGCAGCCATGAGATGGGGCCAAGCAGCAGTGCCCCCTTTCAGACAAGGCCTGCACTTCTGCTTTACCCTATCCCTGACACCCTGTCCTGCACACATTTGTGTGCAGTTCCTGTGTGCTTTACCTGCCAGGCCCCTGGAGGCAGTAAGATTTTCAACTTCTGCCCATACTGTGCTAACATAAATCAAAGCTTTTTAAACAGCCATGTGAGTCACGTTTATGGTACGTTTTATGCCTAGCACCCTCTCTTTCTCTCAATTCCACTAGAACCAGCATTCAAGAGTCTACCTACACCTGTGACAAACACACACAATGGAATAACTCACCAGTTGGACACAATTAGCTGCCAAGTGTTATGACGTGATACCATCAGTTGAACCAGTAAAAAAAGGCACAACTTAGAAACTTCTGCCTTGGTATAGTCCTAGCTTCTTCTTAGGCTTTTCCATTTAAATAAACCCCAAGGTTAAGTTGTTTTCCAGTGTCAGACTATAAATCCACCTGTCCATAAACATCTGGTATAAGGACCATCCTTAGTGCCGCCCTATGCTATGAAAGAAGACTGAAACAGCCAGAGCTGTGCAACAGCCCTTTTAAAAAGAAACATAATGTGATGGATCATGAATTAGAAAGGTATCCACATTCTTTCAACAGTGATTCTATTTCTGGGAGGCTATCCTAAGAAAACAATGTAAGAGAAGCCACTGTGGGCAAAAAATAATAGCTGCATTAACAATAATACATAAAACAGAAACAACCTAAATGTTTAACAACCAGGAAGTGTCTGGAGAATTATGACATGTTCAACAAATGGAAGAGTGCAATTCATTACAATTATAAACAGGAAGATAATATTGTAATACGGAAA